AAAAAAAAAAACCCCAACCCCAAACATAAAGCTTATAAATGTCAATGGATTAAATTAAAAGTTCAAGGAAGAACGTGAAAATACTTTTACCTTTGCTGTAAAATTATGTACTTCGGTCGAGGATTATCAAATATAGTTTGAAAGATCACTCTGAACTTGAATGAGTTTATTTCCTGTGCTCAGGCCGTAAAAGAGTATATCATAAGGGTAAATTGGTCAAGATTTATTTTTTTAAAATTAATATAAATAGGTTAAAAGATTTGTTATAAAAAATTCAAAACAATGGAGATAAGTGTATTATTGTAAAACATAAGGGAGGTGAATGTGATGAGGTCAACCCTAAGGGTGTCTCCGAAAGTATTCCAAAAATTTAAGAAGCAAAATTTTAATTGAAAACAAAGGTTTGTGTAAATCTGAAACCACAAAAAAAAAGAGGTTTGTGTTGATTGTCCCTAATGTTTATTATAAAAGTTTGCCCATAATTACCTTACAGACCTGATTGTGTAACTATTAGGGGCGTTTGATACGATAACCTAAAGATAAAAATTTAATATTGTCTTATTCCTTGTTTGGTTACTAACTCTGAAATAAGTTATCCAAATTCCAGCATAATTTGTCTTCAAACCAAATGACCCCTTAGTGCATAGAATCTATAACCTAACCATAATTAATATATTAGTGTATATTACTTAAATAAATCATGAAGTGCCAATTTTAAAACTGAAACTTAGTGATCACGTCTCTTGCTTTATTTGGAAGGTTTCGATGATCATGCACATGGTAATTGGCACATAATACTTAGTGTTATATATAGAACTCATCTCTAGTTTATGTTTCAAGCACTAAACGAGTAAAAACTTCTTACACAAACATGTCATTTAAAAGGAAATTTCAAGCTATTCCATATATTTAACATTAATTAGTAATCTAGAATAAATGGTAAGTAAAATATACTTTACAGTACTTTTAAGAGTAAAAGTCACTTTACCCCCTTAACCTTTAAGGGTTGGGAAATAATAACCCCCTCACATTTTGAATGGGAAAGGAACCCCCTAACGTTTTGAATGGGAAAGATACCCCCTTGTGCAATAGCTTTCCGGTAAAATAATTTTTTTTAATAAAAATCTTTTC